GAGGATAGTCTGGAAGAAAACATAGGCTACTTGCTTTTGATTTTTCAATTTCACGCAGACACAGTTGCGGGCGAAAGCCAGTTCCATATAAAATAACGCAAAAATACGGTTTGCATCTCAAAAGCGCCATCTATGGGAGAGAAGTTTTTTAAAAAATATTTCACCTATATTATTCTAGATATCAACTTATTATCTTCAAGACGAAATAACAGTTTACTTATAATTATTGTTTTAGTCATATAAGGTATTATACTGTGCCATTGTTATGTATTTGACTCTTGCACTTATCCTCTCGAGTCATTGATAAGGCGTAGAAGAACTATGCTTTTGTTTTCCAGAAAATAATAGACTATTGTTGTTTATATGCCATAATGGACCTATAATGGTGCAGCAGTGTTTAAATATAGAAGACTTTGTATTTAAAAAGTAAAATTTATATTTAGCGAGAGAGACTATTTAAAAAAAGTTTAATTTACGGCGCCTTAAATATACAATAGCAATTATTTAGTTACAAGAAATTGCTAAGTTATTGACATTTAACTATTTTATTAAACTAAAATTAAAGCGGAAAGAGTAGACAACAGAAATAGTTATTGTAACATTCTGATAGCTTCATAACTATTATTTAAATCATACTGTTTACTTACAGTTGCGTACCTGACAAGTCTAACGGGTTTAATCTATGGTTGGCCATCTTATACCTTGGAGATGTTCCAATCAAATGCAACCGTACTGTCCGCACCCATGTCCACTATGGAGGTGTCATTACTGGGCAGTCTAACGAATGTTGGAGGACTCATGGCCACACCATTTTGCGGGTACGCCGTCAATAAATTCGGGAGGAAATATGCTGCTATTATGTATGGATTACCTTTTGTTGTGAGTATGACAGAATAATTAAATTTAGAGATAATTGTGTTGTTAGTTTCTGTCAGGATTTTCTACATTTTTTTATGTTAATTTAAAATTTAAAATTTCTGAGATATAACAACTCAAGTTTATTTCTTATTTTGTTCGTCTCCTTCCATGATGTTTTAACGTATTATTTTTGTCTGTAATTTAAGATATCTTGGGGTATTATATC